TGTGAGATAAATGAAAAGTTATTACTGCTGATAAAAGAGTAGGTTTAGAAAGTATTCATGCTGAATTAGGAAAAAAAGAAGTGAATTAACCAAAATTGGTTTTCAGAAGCTGACAAAGAACAAAAATTGAATGACATTTTAGGCAAATCAAAGCTCTTGAAACTGGAAGAATTGATCATTTAAAAAATCAAACTTAAATTTTTAGGTGATAAATTAACTAATACTAATCCCCAGTGATGCAAATATAATCTCTTATCAAGAAACAATTGCCATTAGAACTTTGATATATTTCTTAACTGATTTAGAAAAGGAGGGCAAATTAGAAACTCCCTTGACAGATACTGAAAAAGAATATCTTACTGAAGTAGAACAATTAGAGACTACTCAAAATGCTAGTCTTCCTGCTTATAGCACTTGAAAAGAATTGGGTAATAGTTTTCAAGAAAGATTAGACAATTGAGAAAAAAATGTGGGAAGAAACCTAACTGGAAAAAGCATTACAATTTATTTCAATTTACTAAAGCATGAATTAAATAATGCTAAGCAAACAATTGGTCTTAGTCCAGAAGAAGAAACAGAATTATTAGCAATTAATAATTATTTAACTGAACCAGAATTAAGAAGTGAAAATCTTCATTCAGTTTTCAAGATTGATGCTGATATCTCTACTTCTTTAGTTCAGGAATATAAAAATTATGGTGACCAAAAACTCTTTAAAAAGGTTGAATTAAAACTCAAAGACATTGCTAATATTCTACTCAATTTAGAAGATAAAAACACTTTCTTTACTGAATTGAAAGAATATTTTAAAGATAAAAAAGGGTTACCAGCTTTCCCTACTGACACCACAGATGATTACCAAAAAACAGATTATTTCTTTACTTTAAGCCCTCAGTATGTAATTGGATTTTCAGCTACTTACCAAATTAAAAATGATAGTTCAGTCAAAGAAAAACTAAGCAAGCTATGGAAAAAGTTAAAAATGACCAAAATCAAGGCTTAGATAAAAAACTCTATGGAGATGGTCAAGAATTTACAGAAGCAGGAATTATTAAATATTATGCAGAAGAATTAGGCGGAGTGAACCATAGTTTTGCTAAACAAGGAACTAAAGCTACTCCTCCTTCGCAAGAAAAAGGATTCTGAAGAAGTGATAATCCTTCAGCTTGAACTGCCTTCGGAGCAATTCTACTGGCTTTAGCTAGTGTAAGTTAATTAGTTTGAAAAAGAAAATTACTTGCTAAATGATGAGAAGGTCCCACTGAACTAGAAGAAGAGGATGATGAAGAGGATGATTAATAATGATTTGATTGTTTATTCTGCTAGTCTTTGTTTCTTTCTTGGTTCATCATGTATTGGTTTTAATGCTCATTTATTAGTTATGATTTTCCGTTCCTCTTGATAAATTTCATAAGTGATTTTTTCTTGATCTAGATATTCCTGGAGAGTTTGGGTATTATTGATTTTGAAAATGTAGGGAGCAATTTTCTCTCCCTTGAGCTTTTTTTAGAATGCTTCTAATGGTGCTGTAATTCTTGGGTTCCATGGTGGATTTAATGTAAATTAGTTTCATATATTTTATTTTTATATAAGGATAGTCCTATATATATTAATCCTGTTATGGGTTATATTCTTCACATTCTGGTATGATAACATGAGCATTAAAATTAACAAGTCCATAAGTTATGAATGAGCACATTATTACTTTCCAAAACACCATCAGTCAATTTTACAGTCACATCACAATCATAAATCAGCCTCACATTTATATCACATAATTAAATGTTCACTTTGTCTGGTTTTGTTGCAGCATGCCCCACATAATGATAAAGGTACTTTTTTTGAATATTTAACAATCACTTTATCAACATTCCGTCCTTCACATATTTCTTTCTGAGCATCCAAATATATTTTAGAATAATCGAACGTTGATTGTTTCAGCATTTTTTACTAAAAGAAGTAAAGTAGTCAGTTAATTTATATATGTTTGAAACAGATATTATATCATTATTTAATAATAGAACGTTGAATTGCCATTTCAATTTCCAACTGTTCTAACTCGTCTCCTACTCTTTGATTATTATTGTTGTTACTTGATTCTCCCGTTTCATACAAGGAATCTAAATCCATAGAACAATTATTAATTAAATTTTGAATTGCTGTTTCTAATTCTAATTGTTTTATTCTACGTTTCTTACTATTACTATTGTTATTTTCTTCTCCTGTTTCATAATCAAAACAACTTGTGCTACTATTTAAATTATAATCGTCTTCCAATATCTCTTCTATCATTCGTTTTTACCTTTATCTTTTTTGATTCATTATCACTAATTTCAGATTCGTATACGAATAAAATTTCTTCTAATAATAGACAATTATTATCCATAGTATGGTGCACCAACTCTATACTCGACAATGTTTCAATTTCGGAGATGCAGTGTAACGAAAAATCATCCAATAAAATT